CTGTATTTTTGCTACTGTTATGAATTGGGCGACGTCTGAGAAAGAAGGGGTCGCTACCCACAGGTTGAGAATTGCTGAACTAGCTGATGCCTGGCTAACACTTCTGGACTGAAGGGGAGAAAAATAGAGACCAAATTCAAAATCATAAAGAGGTCATAACTACAGGTCTGATAAAGACTTGGGGATCCCCGAGACTGTGACCTTAGACTCAATCCCCTTTCAGCTGGACAAAAGACAGGCTTATCAAGTGCACAAGGGACCCTGGTGGTGTAGTGGTTACCCATTGGGCTGTGACTCTCAAGGTCAGCAGTTCGAAATCACTAGCCGCACGGAGGGAGAAAGGCCAGGTTGTCTCCTCCCATAAGGACTGACGGTCTGGGAACCCCCCTGGGCAGTTCTTCCTGTCCTATAGCGTGGCTTTGAGGCAGAATCCACAATGGCAGGGAGCTTGCTTTCCGAGAGTGAACAGCGAAACTTGGGAGAAACATACTCCTCAGATGAACGAACCATGTCAGACCAAAGGTGAGTCTTTGCTCTCAAACTAAGCTCAAAAGGCAGAAAGAAGGACAGCTTGTCATGGGTAGCCCAGGGAGGAAGCAGGCGGAAGGCAGGCAGTGTGCCCTTACATCAAGGGACTTGCAATTGTTACAAGCCAAAATGCATGCACGCAGTTGGGTGGGAAAAGAATTTGCTCGGGAAACTTTCACGCCATCCACAATTAAAAAAGAGAAAAGAAACATTTTTATGTTATTTTTAAACTTTCACGTCTTTTTATTTCCATTTGAAACATATGCTCTCTGTAAACTTTTGGTCCACTTTCATCTTTACTTCTGCCATTCCACTTGGATACTTTTTACTTTTATTCAAGTAAAAGCAGAATCGTGGATCTGACATGAGTGTAATACCTCACGGTATTAGTAAGGCTTAATTGGATTAGGTGTGCCCTCTTATCTATCTGCTAGGGTAACGTCTTTTCTACGTATTGCTTCCTGTCACTTTGATTTATCTGAGTAACTATGTAGTGAGTGAACCTTCTTCCATATTCATTGATGATTACAAATAAACGTGACTTATAACACCAACAATTAAATCCATCTGATCTGCAATTCATGTTCAACGCTTCCCTTACAGGGATTTTCCACATACACAAAACTAACAGATTATTTTGGTCAAGCCTCCACTTCAAGCATTAATTACAAAAATTAAGTGGTAAGATGAAAATAGTTGAAAAATCCCAAGCTCCACAACACCGGTCCCAGTTGTAGTCATGCTGATGAGATTGTTTCTTGTATCGCCATTGATTCCATTTCAACCCGGGCCCCTCTGGGCAAATCAGCCACTTGGCAAGCAGCTCTCTGGGGAAAGCTACTCTTGAAATACTGCTTATCGACGTCATTGGCCGTCGCGGAGCCCTCTGTGTCAGCCAGGAGCACCGTGGTCTTGGCCACATGGGTGAGCACCTCCGGCAGCTCTCAGGATTTCACCGATGTTTGTGAGAGCTTGTTTGGTTTCTTCTACTACCCCTCCTGGCACAAGCTGTCCAATTGAAGGGTTCCGACCCACCTGTCCTGAACTGTACAGGGTCCTGTTGACCAGCCCGGCTTGACTGTAGGGACCAATGGCCCGTGGGGCTCTGATCACTGCCTCTGTGATCACGATGACATGGCTAAGCCCTTTTGTCCAGCGGAGCCTGCAAAGAACCAGCACCTAAGGCAACCTTGGTCCTTCTCTCTGAACTCAAAAAGAAACATTCTCACAGCGAGCACTAATAGTTGGCCCATGAACTTCAGGTTCAGAGCAACGTGATTTTAAAGTGGTGGACGTGGTGGACGTTGACCTCGTTATCAGCTCTGTGCATTTATAGCCTCCGGTGTCTGCCTCTCTTCCTCATCCTGGCCCTGAGAGAGCCGGGATAAGATAAGCTGGGGAAAACACTCTTTCAATCCACTCACCTGGAACTCCAAGTCAAGCGCCCTGGATTTGGATCTGCCACCTTGGGAAAGCTCCCTAACCTGATTGCCAGGTGCTTTCTCCATAGATGATGTCAGGCCAGGACCTGGGTTTTCTCTCAAGTTTCCATATGCCTTGAGCTGTGTTTTCACACACACTCCCCCATCCCCCAATTAAAGACCTGGGAACAGGGCACCCAGTTCCTGTGTCAGAGGCTGGGAGGGAGACTAATACCGCTGGGTGGGGCGAAATCAAAACCAACTCAGGGGGGGCAGCAAGGGAGGTCTGCACTCCCCCCATTCTGTGCACCTGGTGGGGAGGGCGGGTGCAGCCCAACACAGAGGACTGCCCCCTGGCTAAGATGGAAGAAGGGGTTGGGTCTCTGTGTTAGGCGGGGTTGTTAGTTTTTAGTTGCTGTCAGGTTGGCGGCTGACTCTTGGGACAGAACAAAACATTGGCTGATCTGTCTTCATGATCATGCATTAGGGAGCCAGCCCTCATTCAAAAATGCAGACCTGTGGTGGTTCGAGGTAATGCCAACTGGAATATGCATGAAATCGCAGGGCTGGAATCCATAACCTGATGTTGCTTCCTGGGGCATCAAGGGGTCTTCTTATAAGGAAAAAGCTGGGACCCGCCCTCTCTCTGGTCCTTTCCCTTTCTGCCTGCTGGGACTCAGCCTGGTCCATGGGGCAGCCCCATGTGGGCCACCTGACCCTGCTATGGCATAGCCATGCTATGCATAGCCCTGCTATACTTCCACCCACCTTGGGTCCAGGCTGTTCTACGGGCGGTGGGATGCTACCTCCCTGGGGTCTTCATGGGTGTCTCTTTAAGATCTAGTGACACAGACCATCTCTTCCTGTGTTGACTTTCTTGCCTCTGATTTGCCATCCAGTGGAGTCTGATTTATAGTCCTCTTGTACAAAGCTTCCCTAGACTGCTAGTCTGTATGGGAACAGACAGCCTCATCTTTCTCCCTCAGGGTATCTGGTGGGTTTGAACCACTGACCTAGTGGCTGGCAATTCCATGCGACACCCACTGTATAGTCCTATCCAAGAAGGAGCATGCTGTTTGGGCTCCAGCAAAACTGGATGAATCCCCCAGCTCTCCCACTTGCGTGCTCTGAGAAATTAGGCTCGTTACATCAACCCTTTGAAGTTACTGAAGCTTCCAAGTCGCTAAGAATACCAGCCTGAGTAGGTTGGCCAGGAGGATTCAGTGGGCTTTATGGATGCGAAGTGCCCCGCCTGGGGGAGGGGGAGGGGGGTGAGCACAGTGATACTCACTACCTGTTAGCTGCTTCCCAGTATGCCTCCCCCTCCCCCACTTTTCCAGGACCCAACTTTAGGGAGAGTTGCTTTCCTATAAATAACTAGTCCACGTTAGTCTGGGTAGACTAGAGAAACAAAATTCAGAGAGACACTCATATGTGTATAAGAATGAGCTTTGTATACAAGAGCCATTGAATATTGAGAAAATGTCCCAGCCCAGTCCAGATCAAGTCCGTAAGTCTGATATTAGCCCATATGTCTGATACCAATCTAAAAGTCCTCTTCAGACTCATGAGACACATGACACCAGATGCAGGAAGATACAGGCCATTGGGTGGAAAGTCTTGCGGATGCAGTGGTGGTGGAAGCATCTCAGCACTGACATGGGCCTCTGGGTGGCTCCTCTGGTTCCAGAGCTCGGGCTCCATCAGTACAGCTCCATCAGCTCCTCATCCATAATGTCTCCCCCGGAGTGAGCCTGCGTCCCACCTCCAGCAAGCTATTCTCTCCTTAGCGCCTCCACATGAGGTCACCAAGCTGCGACTTGACTGACAGGCTGAACTCCACCCTTTCACTCTGAATCCTCTCCAATTGATAGCAGATGATGTCACTCCCACACCAGTATTCAGTAAGGAGTCCTGGTGCCACCGCCGGGGCGACATTGACCTCCAGCCATGGAGGAAGAGAAAAATGAGGCTGTCTGTCTATTCCTGTCAAGATGTACAGCCTCAGAAATGCTGTACAGGGTTGCTATGGATCGGACTAGCCTTGGTAGCAATGTTGTTTTGTTTGGGGGGGAGGCGGGAGGCGTGTCCAAAATCTGTAAGAATGCCTATGGTAGAGTCCAGCCCACAATTGCCGGTGGACTAGACGAAGTCATCAGCACGAATCCCTCCTGTCCCCAGCGAGGAACCACTCCTCAGCTTGCTGTCCCGGCAGCTCCAGGGAGCCGGGGACACATTATCTGTGTGTGGGTAGAGCCAGCCTTTCCAGACTCCTCAAGCTGATTGTGGCTCCTTGCTGACAGCAGCCAGCCACCGCTATCCGTGCGGCAGAGTCACCAAAATAAAACTTGGCGTTGTTACAGGGCCGTCGGCATTCTGAAACCCTCCTGTGGCCTCTTGGCTGTTCTGCACAGACTTAAGAGAAGGCTATTGCTTTGGTAGCTTTGAAAAGGGAAACCCAAAGCCACTGACCGCAAGGAATAAAGAATGCTCACTCTCCAACTGAGAACTTTATACTTCATTGCATAACCTCCACATGAAGTAAGTACACCAGTTATCATCGTCTTACAGATGAAGAGATAGAGGCACAGAAAGCTCAGATAGTAAGTGGCAGAGCTACTTGAAACCTGCCTTCATGAAGAGATCACTGAAGAACGGGTGAAGAAATCAGAGGGTGCCCAGCTAACAGGAAGAATACTATCTGTGCTCTTGAGACAAGCAGCCATCTAAGGGAGGTGTCAGGCTAAGTCCACCTGGGAGAAGCACGCCTGCCTGTGTCATCCAAGGATTGTACATCATAAAATCCGAGACCAGAGGGGGAATTATATTAGAGCTTAAATTCTGAGCACCTAGTTTGCAGAGGGTGTGGATGGCCGCGATCGCCCCAAATCCATTAGCAGGGTTAAGCCTCCAGGGAATCCCCTCTGACTATTGACCAGGGATGTGAACACCCTGCTGTCAGACAGAGTGCCCTGGAAAGTGAATTAATGCCGATTGTGGTTACGTTAAAATTTAGCACGTTATCATTTGTTCTTTTACAAAATTATTTCCATACTTACTTGGCAGGGGAGATACCATGATCACAAAGGCCATTTTCCCAGGACAAGGCTTATGCATTGCACTCTGGATGTGCTGACCCCTGCGATTTCCCCAAATGCGGGGAACTCAGCTGCATGATTTGTGGTCGTGGGAGACCACGTTCGTTCTCTCCTCTGTAAAAAAAAAAATTCTACTTTCTTTTGAATTAAGGGGTTCCTGTGTTTTATTTTATTATATTTGTGTGTGTGTGATTTTCTTTATATGAAACCCAGGATAGGTAAATATCTAGTCAGTAATTAGATTACTAGTTTCTCAGGGCTATGGTCAGGGGAACTTGAGGGGGGGAAATGAGAAGCTAAAAATCATGGCTATAATGAAGAAGATGCTCTAATATCGATGGCAGTGATGACTCCACAGCTCTTTTAAATATACTGAAATTGTCGAATGGTATAGTATGTGAATTATATGTCAAGAAAACGTACAATTTTTTAAAAAGAAAAGAAATCGTAAAAAGACCAAGATGTACTGAGAAAGAATAGCTTCACATTTTGAACATTTGTTTAATAAAGTTCCCATGACTTGGTAGCAATATTTTTTAATGCAGCCTCTTGTATGCTAACTGAATAGAGTATGGAGCCCTGGGTGGTACCAGAGTCTTCCGCTGGGACAAGTACTTAGACTGAAGTACTTGGAAGTGCTCGGAAGAGGAATCACTGATCCGTGGGTCATTAAGGAAGTACCTGTACCCGCTTAGAGTCGACACTGTCCAAGGCAAATTCAAAATGTAAAATACAAACACAAAGCAACATCTGTCCCCCACAGCCGAACAGCAGGTTCTCAGAGAAGCCCTCCCCCTGTCCCAGGCCCGTCCATGAATGTCGGTGGCTCGATATTGATTCGTCATCTCTAGCAGGGAAGGATATGTCTGTTGCCAAGTGTTCTCACCTTCAGAGGAAACCGTGAAGCACAAACCACGGCCGGATTTAGCTGTCCTTTCTCTCCCCTCCGGACAGTCAGCGCCCTGTGGCTGGAACTGCGGTAAATGAGCGCTGTGAGTCAAAGGCCTGGCCTTTCTCAGAATTTTAATGCGTGGGACAGCACGGTCAGGAAGTAGTCACCGAGGGAGGAGTCACAGATGAGGCACACTGCCCTCAGCATCACCGCCACCCATGGCAGGGTGATTGGTCCTTCTCCCACCTCACCAACAGCAGTAGTGGGTATAGGGGGAGGCATGCCTTGGAAATGACCATTGCAGATGAACCTTAGAAAAAAATGATCTTGCTGTTGAGAATAAACACAGCAAGGCACGCACCAACTCGACATCTCATTGATGGATGAGCCTTCCAGTGTGGCCCCCAGGTTCACCGTCCTTTTCCAAATGGCCTTCTCCCCTGAGCCTGGACTTACTGCCTTCGAAGGGCCCTGTCTCATGGTCGAGTCTTCGCTGCCAGCTGGATCCCAGATGGATAGTTCTCAGGAGAGCCTAATGCTCAAGGTAGACATTCTCTCCCAGTCAAACACGAGTGTTGTTTGGTCAAAGGCCTCTTTTTGGTTTAAGGCTTAAGGTTTAAAAAAAGGATCTCAGGGTAATAATTACAGGAATCCAGGCTGGAGTCCATGAGAATTTGAAATTCTGTTTGGCCCACCCTCACCCCCACCCCCTCCTCTTGATCAGGAATCCTTTATAGCATAGGTTCCCAAATTTATTTGCCCTACTTCCCTCTTTTCAGAAAACAACAACAACAACAACTCAGCACCCCCATGGCAATTACCTTTTTTAGTACCATGACCCATGGTCCAGGACCAAATGCAGGCAGGTAGGTCTCTGCTTTTGCAGTGCCCCCTGGGTCATTCCACCCTCCCCCAGGGGGCGGCATCACCCACTTTGGGAATCACTGCTCTGCAGAATCCTTGATCAGCATGTCCCCTAATAATAGCAGGCACCACTCTGTTCTTTTGGTCTCAGGGAAGAGGTGACACTTGTTCAACGAGCTCACCAGCCACTTCTTCCATAGCCTCCTCCGATTCCTCACTCTCCACTCTGCTGCTATCGGTGAGTTATTGTGCCTTGGGAGGCTGCTTGCAAACTTGTAAGGCTTAAACCAGGAGAGGGTTTTAGATATCAACTGGACCATCCCTTTAAGAAAAAGTTATTGTGGTTGCTCACAGCAGAAAAGGAAATTGTCGGCGGAGCCACATGGAATCTTTCCTTGAAGTGTCCAAAGTTCTGTGCCACCTTCTAACGAGGGGATGTAAACACAGTGTTCTGGTCCTCAGAACAATCTGGGAGGTAAGCATCAGCCCCTCCTTTGACAGGTGAGGAACAGGTGAAACGGGGCGGGGACCCGGGAGCTCCTGTTTGCTTAGAGCGAAATGCCATCTTCAAACTGGGGGCCCCCCAAAGTAGATTGGCAGAGTGGTGCTGAGAGCCTTGCAGTGTGGGGAGCGCCCTTTGCATTTGGCTCCCAGGACTGCCACCCCGCTGTGCTGGTTGTGCCCTGCTCAGGTCATGTGAACTCTACACAACCCACACAGCTGTACCTGGCGGCACCTGGGCAGCCGCCACTTGATCTGTGATCTGGAGCAAGCTGTACCTTTCTGAGCTTCTGGTCTCTCACCTAGAAGAGGTGTTGTTGTTGTTGTCAGGTGTTGTGGAGTCAGCTCTGACTGGTGGTGACCATCCGTGCAACACAACAAAACACTGCCAGGTCCGCGTCAGCCTCACAACTGTTGTGATGTTGGAAGCCATGGTTGCAGCCACGGTGTCCATCCATCTCCTTGAAGACCTCCCCCTTTTCATTGCCCCTCTACTGAGCATGGTGTCATTTCCCCAGAAACTATAGGAGGTATTAGTAATCATCCTGTAGATCAGGGGTTCTCAATCTTCCTCAGGCCATGGCCCTTTCATACAGTTCCTTATGTGGTGGTAACCCCCACAACCAGAAAATGATTTTCGTTGCTACTTCATCACTGTCATTTTGCTACTGTTATGAATTGGGCAACCCCTGTGAAAGGGTCATTCAATCCCAAAGGGGTTGCGACCCACAGGTTGAGAACCACAGCTGTAGGTAGTTTAAAAGAAATGAGACTAATATACCTAGTCACTAATGGGTTGTTTAATGTCTCCTTGTATGGTGGTCCTACCAGGTAAGGGCGGGACTGCTATTAAAGTCGGTGGTTCAAAGCCACCAGCTGCTCTTCCGAGAAACATGAGGCTGTTTGAGTTACAGTCTCTGAAACCCGATATAAGGTGGCTATCAGATGAAACCAACCGCACGGCAGTGGATTTGTTTAGGGTTTTGCATCACAACACCAGCTTGGCCCCTGACACCCCTCACCCCCCCACCCCCCGGCCAGTGCACAGAAGGAGTGCCTTCCCCAATATGAACATCATTTTCTCCTGGAGAGAGCCATGCCACTTTACTATCAAATTTCTTTCTTCAAAGACAAAGATGTTTATGTGCCTTTTTGGGATAACAGTATGGAAAGCTTCTGACTTAAGAAGAGAAAGAGGAAGTGGGTGTGTGTGGCACCAGCATTCCAAACCCAAACCCAAGGCCATTCCCACTCATGCCTATATGGGAGCAAATGGCCTCATCTTTCTTCTGAGGAGTGGCTGGTGAGTTTGAACCACTGACCTGGAGGGATTAGCAGTTCCATGCCAGACCCACAGCATCGCCAGGGCTCCATTGGCACCAGTCTTAGACTCACCCCAAACCTCTTTAAAAAAAAAAAATCATTTTACTGGGGGCTCGTACAACTCTTATCACAATCCATCCATCCATCCATCCATCCATCCATCCATCCATCCATCCATCCATTGTGTCAAGCACAATTGTACACTTGTTGCCATCATCCTTCTCAAAACATTTGCTTTCTACTTGAGCCCTTGGTATCAGCTCCTCATGTTTCCACCTCCTTCCCTGCTCCCCCCTCCCTCATGAACCCTTGATAATTTATAAATTATTATTATTTTGTCATATCTTACACTGACTGACGTCTCCCTTCACCCACTTTTCTGTTGTCCATCCCCAGGGACGAGGTTATATGTAGATCCTTGTAATCAGTTCCCCCTTTCTACCCCACCCTCCCGGTATTGCCACTCTCAGCACTGGTCCGTCCTGAAGGGATCTTCCTACCTGGATTCCCTGTGTTTCCAGTTCCTATATGTACCAGTGTACATTATCTGGTCTAGCCAGATATGTAAGGTAGAATTGGGATCATGATAGTGGGGGTGGTGGGGGTGAAGCATTTAAGGACTAGAGGAAAGTTGTATGTTTCATCGTTGCTACACTGCATCCTGACTGGCTCATCTCCTCCCCGTGACCCTTCTGTAAGCGGATGTCCAGTTGTCTACAGATGGATCTTAGGTCCCCCATGTGTACTCCCCCTCATTCACAATGATTTAATTTTTTGTTTTTTGATGCCTGATACCTGATCCCTTCAACAGCTTGTGATCGCACAGGCTGGTATGCTTCTTCCATGTGGGCTTTGTTGCTGCTGAGCTAGATGGCCGCTTGTTTACCTTCATCCCCAAACCTGTTACTCAGTCTTGGTTCTGGCCATCCGGGATCTCCCTCTCGGACTCACCTGGGCGTGTCCCCACAGGAACATCTGGCGATGCCTACAGATAGTCTTGATTGTCAAGCAGACAGGGTGCTCCGGGCATTGAGTAGGTAGAGGCTAGGCATGAGCTCACTGTCCTGCCACGCACAGGGCAGCCCCAACCTCAGGGAAGCACCCAGGAGTTGAGGTTGAAATGCCGTGGGCTAAGACGTTCATGGCCTAAGGTGTTTGTGTACCCAAAGCGCAGCCCCGTGCACCTCTGTCCCTAAAACAGAAACAAACCTGTTGTCATCTGTTGAGCTGGTTCTGACGGGTGGGGATCACTTGGTCGGAGAAGAGCAGGGTGCTTCTTCTGTGGGGATGTCAAGGGCATGGCCTTTCAAAGGTTTCTAGACCATTCTTCTCAGGCACCTCCAGGCTGAAACCACCAACGTTTTGGTTATTAGTTGAGCAATCAGCCATTTGCCCCATCCACGATGATTCCTGCCCTCCCTAAGGGTCACTAACAGGCCAGAGTGCCTTCTCAGATTCCCGGGAAGGCCGACGAAATCCCAGAATACAAGGGTGATGCCGGGAATGTCTGTTTTCCAGATTGACGGGGCATGAAAGGATGACGGATGCGGGAGTGCCCCCGAGACGCACACCTTGTTTCTTATCCACGCTGCTGTCTCAGAAGGTGCCCGAGAAGTCCGACACGGAGCTCCGTTGCATCATATCTGGTAACCGGCCTTCCCTGCTTGACTCTTCTCACACGGGACTGTCCCTCTGACCACGTCTTGGTTGAAAGGTCACTTGGGATAAAAATGGATCAAGTAGTTGAATTTTCTTCTTCTTTTTTTTTTCTAAAAGATTTTTTTCCCCCAAGAAACTTCCAGGTCCCTTTTCGGCAACCTTCCTTAGCTCACCTGGGGGCTCTCTTTTAGGCAAATCTCACCTGGATTCTTTTTTTAGACCATCCACTCATCGTCTTCTGAGCGATAGGGGGACCATGAATGAGTTCACCTCTATGATCTCTTGACCTCTCCCTCTGGTCCTCTTACTGAGCTCCCAAACCCAACTAAATGCATCTCTTACAACCTGCCTCCATCAGGCATGCCAATCATTGGTGCAATTGTTGAAATTAGACAGGAGACTGGGCAACTAAGTCAGTCAGAGGAGATCAAGTGTTAGTATTCCAGAAGGTAGAAAAGGCTTTGCTTTTAAAAGGAACTAAAATAACATCATTGGATTAGTATGTCTCTACCATTAAACCCCCCCAAGCAATCAAACCCCAAACAAAACAGCTCTGGTGGTCTTTTCCGAGGGCAGAGAGAAGGCACCACTCTCCTGGAGGGCCCCTTTCCTAAGCACTGGGAGCAGAGCCCGCCACAGAGCCCACCGCAGCCAGGGCTGCATTCCTCCACAGGCCTCTGTCCTTGAGATGCCTGGGTGCCCAGGGCTGAGCTGCCCTGCTCTCTCTCTCTCTCTCTCTCTCTCTCTCTCTCTCTCTCGTCATCCTCACTACACAGGTGCTTTTGTTGGTCTGTTAACCCCAAAGGTCTTTTTTTTGACACAGCAAAAGGATACACAATTAAACGCAAACAGATAAACAACAGCCATTGAGTCATTCTGACCTAGCCTAACATGTAACCCACGGCCCCGCCCGAGCCCTTCCTAGTCACACGCGTGAACCTCCTTCCTCACCTCCCGCCTGCCCAGCGTTGTCCCGGCAGACGGCATTCACAGGTCACCTTGAGGGCTGAGGGTGGCACACCCCATGTTTCCCAGGAAACCCCGTGTTTGGGCCGATGCTGAGCATGCCTATGGGCTCCAACCACCTGAGCCCTGTCCTTCTGACATGTTCCATCTGTGGCCTGCAGGTTGCCTCAGAAAGCAAGGCTGGGCTGTTGGGGTGAGGGTGCTCATCAGAGGAGGGACAAAAGAGGAACCCCACAAAGTGGAAGATGCTACCTCCCTGGTTACTTCCACCTGTCCCACCTCGAGGGAAGCAACAGCCAGTCGCTTAGCAAGTGGGGTGACAATTGGCCTGGTGAGTCTGCAGGAAACACCAGAGCAGAAGCACCCCCAGCTCAGCTCACACCTACCATGCACACTGAGTATTCTTTTCTTTAAAAATCTCATACACACACGTAAAAGGACAACGATGGGCTTCAGAAGAAGGAATCTTTGAGACTCTGGTGGTTTAAAGGTAGAATTGTTGTCTCCCAGTTGGGAGACTGGGGTTCGATCCCCAGACACTGCACCGCACGGCCGAGCTAAATAGCAGGCCAGTGAGTTTCATGCCTCTGAGGTGCTGAACCGGTTCAGGAGAACTTCTAAGGCCGTGATGGAACTGTCCGGCCTGCAGGCCATGCCCAAACCCAAGACTCACTGCCATCAAGTCACGACTGGCTCATAGAGACCCCAAGAGTCAGGGTAGACCTGCCCCTCTGGGTTTCTGAGACTGTCAATGTTTACCAGAGTAGAGAGCTTCAGCTTTCATTCCAGAGGAGCGGGTGGTGGTTTTGAACTGCTGACGTTGTGCTTAGCAGTCCAATGAGCAACTACTGTGCGACCAGATCCGAGAGATCATCCATGCTAGCTAACACCACACGCTTCAACAAAGAGAAGCCGTTTGAGCCATCACATTAAAGATGAGTTCATTAAAATCTTTGACCTGTATGATCCTTGAATGATGTTGTAAATAGCCAAATGGCCTGTAGCAGAGAAAAAAGATTCCCCATCCCTGGTCTAGACGAAGACAGGCAAGGAGAAAAGGTCTGTCAATCCATGTGTGACAATAAGCCCATGAAGATCACAACTGTCTGCTCTGAAACAGGTCATGGGGATGGCCTGGGGCCGGGCAGTCTCATTTCCTTGTGCATGAGGTCACTGTGAGTCAGTGACCCACTCATGGCAGCCAAGCACCACGCCAATGAGAAGGAATCTCCCGAGAAGGGACTGAAAGGGGACACCAGGCCGATTAGAACAGGGAGGTCGGCGTCTTGCAGTCTCCTCATGCAGGGGAGCACATTTTTCATCGTGTCATCATTGGTCCGAGAGAGGCCAGCGCCCAGCAGCTGTGGGCATGTCTTGGCCTGCAGGCATGTCTGCGCCTGACTCCAGGGACCCACTGCTGAATGCTTACCTGCAGGAAGAAGTAATGAGGAACACTCGTGGTGGCCAAAAACACACCCCAGGGCTCAGCACAGAGGTAGATGTAGACATAGCCAGACGCAGACATAGACAGAGCCAGATGACCAATGGTGAACTGAGACTTGGAGGAGAAGCCAAGGGCTTCTGGGTCCTCACAGTTCCTGCCTCCAACACAGCTCACTGATTTGATCCGGTTACCTCCTGACCTTGGTTAGCTTCTCCCCCTCTATGACTTGCAAAGATGTGGAGTCTTATCTTAGTGGTCTCCGAGGCTGGTTTCCCCCAGATCATGCGACAGACGCATGTTCCTGCATGTGGACAGCCCTTTTCAAGCCCAGGCACATGTGGCACATGGCAGTAGATTTTCAACGACCTGGAGGCTAGGGAGAAAGCTCTTTGGGACGGACTGGAAGCCTTCTTCCTCAGTAACAAGGGGAAGGGTCCCAAGAGGAGGACAGAAATCTTGGGGTTTCACCAGAGCATCTCATCAGTATCACATCCATTAAAAGGGACACATGGACCCTTTGTGAGGGGGGGGCGGCGGCAGAGGAGGTCAATTTCTGTGAGGTCATTGATTGGTCACAGGTGCACAGTACCAACCGGGAAACCAGTATCCCAAGCTCCTCCTGATCAGGAAGAAAATCCCACTTGCTCAGCTACTTTGCTCTTTTCTCTTTTCTCTTTTGTACCAAACATACACTCCCCTTTAAGCCCTGTGAATGCATAATTTTCAGAAAGGTAAAAGGGCACGCATATGAATGTGAAGAGAACATTCCCGAGGTTTTAGTCAAGTCATTCACTAATTAGGGATCCAGAAAATATTTAGAGCTGGTTTAAAAACATCTGAAGAATTAAACATCTATCAGCAACTTTATAAGGCAATATGAGGATAAGATGGCCGGACGAGGTAGAACATGGGCTAATATCTTTGTTGTTCCGACTCATAGCGACCCTGTTTACAACAGAATGAAACACTGCCTGATCCTGCGCCATCCTCACAACTACTGTTATGTCTGAACTCATGGTTGTGGTCATTGGGTCAGTCCCCAGGTGTATACCAGCATCACAGGACACACAAGCCACCACAGTACAACAAACTCACAGACAAGAGGTGGATCAATGTCCTATAAGGCAATAGACCCTAACTTATGAGGCTACCTTTTCTGACAGAAGAAAATGATTGGCATCCCATTTGGATAGAAATCTACATGTTCACTCAGTCCGCGAATTTTCATCAAAAATTTCATAGAGTGAAACAAAGTATATCCCTCTAGGTAATTCTTGAGTGGGTTTCTTCCCATATACAACACGGGAAGCATTCAACATCAACATTTTGATCTTATTTTCAAGTTTTGTGTCATTTGGGTTCATCGTTGCTTGAGATCAAGGCAGCATTCTTTCACAGTGTGTGTTAGTCTGGGTTGACTAGAGAAACAAATTCATAAATACTCATATCTGTATAAGAAAGAGCTTTATATCAAAGAGAAATTGTATATTGAGAAAACATCCCAGCCCAGTCCAGATGAAGTCTGATATTAACGCATATGTCTGGCACTAGTCTATAAAGTCCTCTTTAGACTCACACAGCACATGCAATGATCCCGAATGCAGGACGATCAAAGGCCAGTAGGTGGAAGGTCTTGTGGATCCCGTGGCAGGGGTGGGGTGGGCTGGAGCAGGTCTTCATGTGTCTCCCCCATCTTTCTGAATGTCTTAACAGCAGGAAAGGGAAGGCCGAGAGAAAGTGTGTCCTGCCTCCAGGGAGGAAGATAGGAGTTCCCAGAATCCTCAGGAGAAGGCATGCCCAGACAGAAGCCTCTTTGATTATGACCTGATAGACAGGCCAGACTCCACCTCTTCGCTCAAGTTGAGAGGAGATGATGTAACTGCCACACATTGTGATTTCCACCCCCAACCAGAATGAGCACCATCGTAGGTTCATAACTTGCTTCAAAAGTGCTCGTTGAATGATGCGTTTATACCATGAGCTTTTTTAAGTCCCCCAACTAGCATAAGCTCCCTCATGCTCACCCACATTGTTTATTATTTGTTCTTGGTCCTAGCATTGCAGCTTTCTTCCCTAAAATAAATGCCAGGGGCTCCAAAAAGGTGTGGGAAAAGGGAACGAAAGGAACATGGGATTTCCTTACAAACCTTTTTGAAGCGACCTCATACTTAAATGAGTTTTATTAACTTTTACTTCTTTGTCGTTAGGGCAGCCCAAGCCAGAGGTGACTTGGTATAAGAATGGCCAAACCATTGATGGGTGTGGCGTTTCCAGTTACGAGATCTGTGAGAACCAGTATACTCATGTGTTACATCTCTATGGGTAAGTGCCTTGGCCTCTGCACTGTCCCCTAACGTCTTTATACTGTCGTGTGCTGGTCATAAGAATCCTGGTGGCACAATGATTTAAGCACATAGCTGGAGCAGTAGTTCAGTGGAAAGGCCAGCAGTTCAACCCCACCAGCCCCTCCACCGGAGAAAAGACCTGGTGATCTGCTCCCATAAGAATAAGTACGCAGGAAACCGTAAGGGGAAGTTCAAGTCTGTCCTATGGGGGACACAGGACAACATGAGCGAAGGACAGAGATAGGCTCCTCTTTGCTTCTAGAGTTCTAATTTTAGATGCTCTGGGCAGGCCAACATATCTAGCAAGGGCAATTTGCTCAGCTCTGTCCAGCCACGAGTGACCCTTTCTAAATTGCTGTCAATGTTGGTGTAACAACTTTGTCTAGTCTTTTTCAAAGTGACCTAGCGGTTTTTAACTCAGTAAATAACCTTTTTTATTTAATCTTGCTCTCTCTGGAAAGTCAAGAGAGCATGCGAAAGAGGCCATCCAATGCAAAATAATGGGCTCTGTTCACCTGGAACAACAGAGGGAGAAGGAGAAACAGGAAGAGGAGGAGGATATAGAATGTGTGGCCAACTGCCTCCATGGACAACTGCCCCCTTTGTCAAGAGACCAGAAGAATTGGATGGTGCCCAGCCATCATTCCAGAGCATTTTGGTCCAAAGATTCTGTAGAAGAATCCTGATCAAAAGGATGAAGACGCAGAGTAGAATTTCAAATTCTCAGGGACACCAGACTTTGCACAAATCCCTTAAATGTATGCCCTGAGATAATTGCTTAGCCTTAAACCCAGAAGATCCACTGAAGTCTTCTGAAAACCAGTAATAGTTTAGCTTGAACTGGTAAAGAATGTTTGCCTCCAGTTTTCTACTTGCTTAAAATCTACGGTATGGGATCAGATCAACAACAGGCAACTTCAAAGACGGGATGGGAAGCTCAGGGGGCCGTGCATTGATGTTCATGGGGAGGACCAACTCAGAGAAAGAGGATAGGAATGCTTACATAACTCAATCAGTATAACCAATGCCACTACATGGTGGGTGTCAGAGCTATTGAATTGCTATGTGTTTTATTGTATATATTCTCAAGAACAACAAAATATATTAAAATGGGAGAAAGAAAGTATGCTCAGATCATCCAGTCTTTCGTGTGTGAGATGGGAGGAAGGAGAGGTGACTGCCTAATTTCTTCCTCTGTCCAACAGAAGAGTGGCTGAGAGGAGCCAATGAAAATGCTCATACCAGGCTGGTGATGCTACAAAGTAAGATCAGGGATTATTCTATCGTAGTTGAAATGCTTGACTCAACTGACTGACCACCTGGCTAGACTGGCATTCAAGATATTAAATTACCTGTAGCTTTTAAACAGTGTTCGTCCATCAGGGGCTCTAAGCCAACCATTTTGCCTGATGCTACGATTCCAGGGGAGTCACACAGACCCTGTACACAGCCTCATAAAACCTATAATCCAGCATGGAGCCCCCCACCCCCCAAAACCCACTGCCATCGCATCAATTCTGATGCGCAGTGACCCTATAGGACAGAGTAGAACAGCCCTTGTGGGTTTCTGAGGCTGTACATCTTTACATGAGCAGAAAGGCCTCATCTTCTTTTCTCACAGTTTTGAACTGCTGACCTTGTGGTTAGCAGTCCAATGCATAATCCACTATGCCACCGGGGCCCCTCGCATGGAAGACAAGCAGTGAACAAATGAGGCCTTCCCTCTCTCCCTGCTCCCATATACTCGTGAGACAGTCTATCTGGCATTTGCCAGCTCTCCTCCTGCCTCTTCCTTCCAGTCTTGCCAATGCCTCCCTGTCCTCCCTCTTCACCCCCCTTAACTTAAAACCTACAAGTTGATGGGAAATTCTAGCTACCCACAGGTCTGCCCAACCTCGAACACGCTCTTTTCCTTTGAGTGGATAGTATTGGCCTCCCTTTGGGAGCTTGTTTACTGTTTAGGATGGATGGATACCTCAGTAGACTTTGGGCCTCACCAGAAAAGGAGCTTTCTCTGTTTCACATGAATTCATATCTCATGTCCCAAATATAATACTCATTAAAGGGGTGCATGGGTGGATGCCTATGGCTTTCATTAGTGTGTTTTAGATGTGTGTTGAGAAACGTTCCTCCCTCCTGTACTGACTGCAAGTGCTGTAACTGTGTAATTATTATTTTTTAGATTGTGTGTGTGGATCAGATGAATTTCTGCAGAGCAGACAATAGCTTTATGTTCAATGCTTCATACACACTCGGAGTCAGCTCTCCACGGTCATCCCTCGCTGAGCCCTCGTTCATCCCCCATCTCCCTGTGCTTTCTGCTGACACTGCCCCCCCCACCCCTTTCTGGATCTCTTCCTCGGGCAAGTGTTGCCCATTTAGTTTTAATTGGGGGTGTGTGCTAATGAGGAGTTGCGTTCAGTCCCAGGTCCCTGGGGGGAGAGGGGCCGGTGTCCCACAGTCTCTATCTGAGTAAGTCTGATCTTGTCATGATGCTGTGTTCATTTACACATTTTTATTCCAGGACCTTCTAGTCCGATTCCTTTCAGAGCAGTTGGTAGGGGGAGCCGGGCACCATCTAGTTCTTCAGGGCTCAGAGTTGGGGAGACAGGCATTTTCATGGCCCACTGGACTTATTGTATCCACAGGCCTTTCAAATTTCTCTTTTTCTTTAATGTTTTTTTAAAAACAAATCATTTTATCGGGGGCTCTTACAGCTCTTCCAACAATGCATCCATCCATTGTGTTGAGCACCTTTGTACATACGTTGCCATCATCATGTTCAAAACATTTTCTTTCGATGTGAGCCTTTGGTCTCAGTTCTCCCCCCGCCCTCCTTCTGCTGGATGAGGAAAGACCAGCATTGCACCTTCGATGGCTGCTCACCAGCTTGTGTGACCACAGTCCCCACGCACCAAAGTTGGATGCAGAACATTGTCTTTGTGAACTACGTCATGCCGATTGAGCTTAGTGACCCCTAAGGATTATGGTCCTGGTCAGATCCACCTCTTTTGAGCCATCTCCTTTTAGGCAAGTTATTTAATTTGCATGTGCCTCAGTTTCCTAGGGCAGTGGAATCATGAAATGAGGGTAATAATAGTGTCTGTTCCATGGGATTGGTGTGGGGATCACATTGGCCCATGCAAAGATTCTAGAATACTCAATAAATAACAGCTATTTTGTGTTTTGATGTGTTTCCCCACACTATATGATATGTTAGGGACCGGTGGAGACGGGGTAACTTGGGGAGAAGTGTAGTTTAGTTTGGCAGTCTCCCCCCCCATCTGCTGTGTCCCTTCTGGAGGGGAAATCTCATTAACAAGCTTGACCAAGGAATCACTGGGGAGAAATAAAGATGACCGATCTCGCTATCTCTTGGCTGCGACAGAGAGTGCCACCATCCAAGGTTGGAAAGCATTTTGTGAACTTTGTGTTCCCATAAGTAGGTGTAATAAGTCTTAAGGACCGACTGGAAGAACTTCCTGGCACCCGAAGGGCTGCCTTGTTCCCAGCACTGGCCCCAAGGCTGTTCCTGCGACATTCTTCCTGAATGACTAGGGCAGGTTGCCCCACAGCCCTTCCTCACACAAAGCCTGGAGCCCCAGTCTGCATGCCGAGGGGCTGACAGAGTTTCCACCGCAGGGGGTGATAGGTCCAACGCTGAAGGCCCATCGCCTGTCCTCACATTACAGTTGTGAGGTCAGTCCCTCAGGGGAGTGAGTGACCATAGTCCCCAGGCACTGGACCACTCAGCTTTTCCCATGTGCTCATTCATCTTTTGGAGAGTGGGGGGTGGGGGTAGGGGATGGACAGAAACCAGCACGTGGGTGGTTACTCTCACCCCAGAGCCTCCCCTTCAGGGCAAACCAGCAGTAACCTTGGGTAGGTGACAGATTAGAGACCTTGGGAATCATCAAGGGAAAGGGACCAGAGATCTCCAATTAGGCAGAATGTTTCAGAAAACGACATTCCGTTCAACGCCTCGCCTCTGAGAATTTCTGAGGCCACCGGTATCCTTGGGGACGTGCTCAGGCCTGGTCCTTACAAACGATCACAGGGTCGTGGTCAGCACTTCAAAGGACTGAGAAGACAGGAGGTCTTGGGCTATGTCAGTCTAGAAGAGATCATCTTACCAACTCCCTCTCTCCAGGGGGTTAGATCCCAAAGGGGGTCCCATAGCCAGTGAGGGGCTGAGTGGGAGTCTTGCCAGCTGCCTGGCTGAACGGGTCCTGGACGACGAGGCCCAAACGGATCCCTGAATTCTTGAGTGAAAATCTTAGCACGGATTGGTGAGGCAGTGCAGCCTGGCTGCCGCTTCATGGGAGTGAAGAAGCTAGGCTCAGGCCAAAGTGGTGGGCTTGTCCTGGGCGGGCAGGACAGACACAAAGACGGTGTACGGATGGACTGTCAATGCGATCGCATGTTCAGTTTTACAGCCCCGGTCATGACAACCAAAGCTAGACGTGATTTCCACAGGGAGAAGTGCATGCATGGACGTGGGGGGATTCAAAGTGCTCCTGGAACGATCAAAGTAAAAGACAGCGGAGTGTTCCCACGGACTTAAACACAAACACACACACACCCTTCGTGTCTCTATAAGTGCAGCACAGGGGGGTATATGTGTATCTTTAAAAAACTCAGAGGACAGACAGAGTGCCCTGTGGGTTTCTGAGATGGCTGCAACTCTTTACGGGAGTAGAAAGCCTCGTCTTTCTCCCACAGAGCGGTGGATGGATTTAAGGAGCTGACCTCCTGGGTGGCCGTCCGACATGTAACCCACGACGACCGCGGGGCTCCCTGTCTCTTCCTCACGGCCTTCCGTCCTTTTTGACTCACAGTGACCCTGCAGGACAGGGTAGCCCTTGCCTTGGGAGTTTCTGAAACGGTAACTCTACGGAGTAGAGAGCTCTGTCTTTCTCCCACAGAACAGCTAGAAGTTTTGAATTGCCGACCTTGCAGTGAGCAGCCCAGTGAAAA